ATTATTAACTTACGCGCTGAATAAGTGATCGAAAGAGGGAAGCGTTCATACGCAATGTCTGCCATTTTATAGTAATATTCCAAATAAAATGGTGAATCGAGATGCACACACATTGCACAACACCAATAACTATATTGACAGAGGAAAAAAAAGACTATTTCCATTAGTTTTTATAATCAAATTATTATGTCCATTCCACTTACTAAATAACCAGTAAACTATGGTCATAACTTCGTCTCGAAATGAAGATATTGGTGTAATTGAGTTTAATGACATATTCCCATTGCTATTATATGGCAATCTAATGTGAAAAAAATACAAAGGAAAGTAAAAGAAATACATAGTAGCTAGTAGTAATAGTTTGCAGTGAACTACTTATGCAGAAACACATTATTGGCTGTATTGAGCTCAGTGCCTTTAGAATATGTATTGTTGTTCTTAATCGGAGCTATTACATTTTTGTGTTGATAATCACAATTATCACCAAAAGATTTAATAGCGAATAGTCCTGCTAACCGACCGAAGGCAACTCGGTAAGCGAGGGTGCAGGCTGTGATTGGTATCATCAAAAACACAGCAATGAACATCAGAACCAAATCGATTCGATTTGCAAACCGAAACTACAATAAAATCGAATACATCAAGCAGTTTGTATTTCGTCTGAAAACACTTACTAATCGAAGAACACCAACTGGTTTATCTTTGTCACTTTGTCTAACATCATCATATAATTTTATATATTTATTATTGTTCTTTTTTCTACGAAAACATCGTTGCCAATCCAAAAAACTATGTAAAACGATAAATTCATTGTATTTTTCTCGAAGTTATTTATTTAATAGATTATACCGATTGATTAAAAGTTGTTTCTTGTTCCCATTATTATCATCATTGCCATCATCACTAATAGATAATTTACTAGATGCTTTTAAAAGAGGTTGTCTAGCACTCATTGGGTCTGTTATTTTAAGAAGACTGTCAAAAAAAAATATCGAAGAAAAGCATATACAAATACCTCAATAAAGAATGATTTGCGATGGTGCATTGACGGCTTATGCATTTTTTCTTTTCTTCATTTATTCAAAAAAAAAACAGTATGTGCAGTCAACCGATCATGCGAGTATAAGAACGGATAAATGAAGGATAAAATTATCCTTTATTATTGGGCCTATAGATCGAGCATGAGTCTTCAACCCACGTGGACTGTAAAATAGAGAATAATTTATAGAGAATAATTTATAGAGAATAAGAAAAGATATTCTAGGAATGTCTAAGCGAATTCATCGATAAATTTCTGCTTTCCTGAAAAAGCGATATTCAAGACGATAGAAATACAAAATTCTATTTTCTAGTTAGTAAACCGATAATGAATTCGTGTGGATACTTCTAGAAATTCGTATAGAATTTAGTGATTGTAGCATTTTTCCCTCGACTGTAGGGAGGGTCATATGAAAAAAAAGTTTGTATGTATGTATGTGGCTGTCAAGGTCAAAAGAACATCGAGGTCAAAAGAACATCGAGGTCAAAAGAACATCGAGGTCAAAAAAACATCGTCTAAAAGGTTAATGGGCACTTGTCTTCCACATGCACTTCCTGTAAAGTTTGACCAAAGGTTTTCGGGGTCGAGGAATCGAATGGTACCATTAGTTTTTTAATTTTTCCAAGTAATT